CTCAACCTTGGCTTTGTCAGCTTCTACTTCTTCCTCCTCCAGCTCTCTTACTTCAGCTTCATCTTCCTCTTCAGCCTCTTTCGTCAGGAGGTCTACCAGTTCTTCTTCACTCAACAGAACTGCAGTGCTTTTCTCTCGCTTTTCAGCCCTCTCTCCATCTTCCTTGTTAGCATTGTCTTCGGAACTCAGTTCCTCGTCTTCCTGCTCCTGGCTGCTGGCCTCAAATGTGACTAGAGTGGGTAAGATCTTTGGCTTATTGGCTTCCACTGTGATAGCATCCTGAAGCAGGAGAAAAGGAAAATTATTTATCGACTGTATAAAATGACACGATACATTTAGTATTAGAATTTAAAACTCTAGATGAAGAAGATGTTACTCTACCTTTTCTTTGGTTGTGTGCAAACTCTTATGCAACCCATGATGCTTTCCATGAGGTTTACTTTTCACCTGAAGATAATGAGAAACATCTGTAATATTTATTGTATGGTGAACACATTATCATATTGTCTTTGATCATTTTTACTCATTGATTTAAGAAGAAGAATATCTTTACTACTCACAGACAGAGCAAATGTTGCTGCCAGTAAGCAAAGGAATACTAAGCAGGCCTTCATACCTGTAAGATCAAAGTGAATCATTTAAACCTTGGATAAATTGTCTAAAAATGGATAACATGTAAGTTTTTAGATTTTGAAACCACTACAGAATTGAATATTTCAGAACAATATTACACTAAAGGCTAAAAAGCTGTTCATAAGCTATCAGTACACTCTACTCTGGCTTTTTCACAACAAAGATGTGAACTTGGCACATCTTTCAAAGTGGAAACAACTGAATGCATCTGTATGCTGCCAGCACATTCATGACGAGCAGAGCTGTGGGCCCAGCCTCCACTATCGCCAAGGTTACAGGCCTCTGATATGCACCTCGCTCTCAAAAGTCACATTCAGAGCTAAAGTAAACACTAGAAGCTACCAGACTGGAAAAATTTGACTAAGTCCACAAACTTTTTGTGTGTCTGGAGCCCAACGACAAAGATATTAATGGGTCTGTCTGGTAAAATAGCTCTCAGCACAGTTCTGAGATGTGAAAGTAATGCTGGGGAGAAGGTGTACACACCAAAGCAATAAATTAGTCTTTATACTTTGAATAATTTAAAAGTTACCAAAGACACTATTATAACTACTCTATTACATGATTGCTCCATCTTTAATAAAATTAATAGACATTATAAAAACATTTAGATATGATATTTCTCTAAATTATATGCACCAAATTAGTACTTCCAAATATGGAGCACATATTAAATAGTGCCACCACTTTCTGCAAAAGTATCAGAGCATCACCATCAATAGCTCACCAGCATAAAGCTGTGGCCCTAAGTAATCAAGCCAGCAGTCGCACATGCAGCAAGCAATAGTTTAAATGCAGTAACTAGTTAGTGAACAAGATGAATGTCAAACGCACATTACTGTTTTGCTATATATAAATGGAGTTACAAAGCACTATTAATTCCAGCTATTTTATTGGTTCTTTTATTGCTGTAATTTCAATATGTGTATCTGAAACGGGTCTGTCTTGTAAAGAAGACATTGAGCCTCAGTAGAACTAACTGTATAAATAAAGGTAAAATAAATGAGAAATGAAACTCTGTGTGTCACAGAAATTAGGATTTTACCTGAGGCTGGCAGTCGCAAGAAAAAGTATCCCGCAAAAACAGCAGCGTGCCTGTGCTGAACCTGTGAAGATGTCCTTTTGTATTCAAGACAGTGCACACTCTGTCCACACAAACTAAGCATTCAACACACACACACACACACACACACATACAGTTTTTTTTTCCAGGGTTTAGGATGCCACTGCTAACTTTGGGAGGGCCTTTGGGAAACAGAGATAAAGAGAGAGGCGGACAAAGGGATCCCACTCCCACACTGAGCTTCTGTTGGGCGATATACTTCAAAAAAAAAAATAGTGTGTCTGTTTCCCAAAAAATGAAAATAAGTTTAAAAAAGAACGCTCCAGGGTTCATAACAGATTTTGACAGGATTCATTTTTGTTACTGAAGATAATTGCATGCATGTATAGAGGAGTTCAGGAGAGTGGGCAACAGAGTCGACAGCCATCTGTTAAACACTACTCTGTTATGGTTTGGGCAGCATTTCAGCCAGTGGTGTTGGGGATCTTGTAAAAATTAATTTATTTACAAGCACAGAAAAGTGCTGTCAGATTTTTGATCTACCATCCAGTACAATCTGGTTCATTTGTCAGCAAATGATCCCAAAAGCACTACTGCAGTAAAAGCATATCTGTACAGAAAAACATGCTGTAGAACACTGGACATATGGATTGTTCTCCCCAGAACCCAGACCTCAACATTACTGAAGCAGTGTGAGCTCATCCTGACAGAGAACAGAACAAAAGGCAGCCAACATCAAATAAAGAGCTTTGAATGTTCTTCATGAAGCCTGGAGTACTATTCCCAAAGACTGCTTAAAGAAATGACAAGAAAGGTCGTCTAAGAGAGTTTAGGCTCTTTTGAGGAATAAAGAGGGTCAAACCAAATATTGACTTTAAAGCTTTTTAGAATTGTACAGACTCTGTTTTTGCAATGATTTTATCATCTACTGAAAAGCAGCACCAGTACAGGGCTTGGCATGATGCTGATCCTGAGAGAAGGGCTTCATATTCATATGTGTCCTGTCAGTAATGTTTCTTTGTTTGTCAGCTGTATTCATCCTTGATGACATCAGCCAACAGAAAATTCATTATCAAACTCAAACTTCAGATTTCCATATCAGTTAGACAGAAAACCTCAAATCCCTGGTGAATAGACTCAATTAACCAGGGGTGGGGAACTCCAGGCCTTGAGGGCCGATGACCTGCAGGTTTTAGACGTGTCCTTGATCCAACACAGCTGATTTAAACGGCTAAATGACCTCCTCAGCATGTCTTAACGTTCTCCAGAGGCCTGGTAATAAATTAATCATTTGATTCAGGTGTCTTGACCCAGGGTGATATCTAAAACCTGCAGGACACCGGCCCTTGAGGCCTAGAATCCCCCACCCCTGCAATAAACAAACACGCTTGTTCAGATGTGTAGTATTTCTTCGTTGACACATTTTTGTGTATTACACCGCTATAAAAATAATGAGTTCAATTTTATTTATATAGATGTAAATCAAATCAAATGTTTACTTTCAGTTGAATATTTCAGCAATCTTTGGAGCATTCATTGTGCTTTCTATTGAATGGATTTTGCACACTTTGGGGTGTGCTGTGGAAACAATTGGATTATTTAACAAACAAGTATAAGTGTAACAAAAAATGTACCCCTGATAATGGATGGATAAGCCTCATAATGAACATAATTTCTGGTTACTGTTGTTTGTGAAAATTTGAAAAAGTACTATGGGCAGGTTGTTTATGGTAGAATGAACCCAGTCCAAACCAACATGACCACATTGTTTTAGGACAGAAACAATACATACTTTTGGCCACTAGATGTCACAAAAACTAAAGTCTGTACTCTTAAAGCGGCTAAGAAACTGCAGTATAATGAGGGTAAATGATGAGAGTAGCAAGGACATGACAAAATCGCTCAAAAACTGCAGTTTTACCTTAATTAATTGATATTCAAAGAATCAACACACCAGCTTTAAACACAAGCCTCTTCATTGAAAAAATACACTGCTTTGTAACACTGTTCATCAAAGCTGGGAAGTACAAGCTTTGATTTATATTACATAATGTTGTAAATCAATCAGTCAATTCCACAAGGCATTGATGGAAATATGCTATCTTATTTTATACAATGCAGAGTAAAAAAAATACACGATGTGGCATCAATCATGGTGTTGTTTTTAGTAAAATCATATTTCACTATTCATCACTAACTTGCATTACTGCACTGTTTTCCCTTAATTAGCAACTAATTCAAACATATTTAGGCAAAAAAAAAAAATAGAAGAAAATGATTACACTGCATGCAGTCTCAAGGATCACACTGGTGATGCACCAGTCTGACAAATGCCTAGTTTCATTAAGAATATTAATACCACAGATGCATCCAACGCCTGTCTGACAAAGATAATTACATAATTACATTATTAAACCTTAAGTAACGTTAAGGTGAACGTGCAGACACTGTTGACTGTCTGCGTATCACAACAAGCATCAATCATCTCCTCCTCCACTCCTACCCTGTGGTTTTGGTGGAGAGCACTGGACTGGTGAACATTCAGTCTAATTACAGGTTTCTTTTGCTTAGCTGAAATCCAAAGTGAGGTTAAACAAGGAATTCTGTAAGCTTATTTTGGGCCTGGCCATATAAGTATATCCAGGAAGCGATTATATACCACAGGATGGAAATATATATAGAAGCCTTTACTTGTACATACTGTACATGCTTAATGTTCCAAAAACACAATTTCCAATAACATCGTTTAGCAGTGAAGGCAAAATATGGTTTGTTTTTGTTTTAATAGACTGAATTAATATTGTACTTTGTCACAGTGTGCGTGTATATGTGTGGGTGTGTGTATGTATCTGAAGTTAATCCATTCATGTGAAGTTTTTATAAAAGGCAGTGTTTAATTTTCTCAATTTAAACCAACCTTATATTGAAAACTTTATAGCCCTCGCACTTGTACTACTTGTAACCTGTTCCATGTAATCCATCATCTGACAAAAACAAAATTCCAAATAGAAAGGGAAGGAGGGGAAAAGGAAAAGAAAAAAAAGTTTCACCGGAAACAAGCATGAAACTGTCTAGCCCTCTTTTCCTCTCTGAGTGGGTGAGTTTATTTTTTCAACAGGCCACAAACCCTATAGTTTAGCGAGCTAAATTATATTTCACTAAAGACGTGAGAGGGGGTGTAGGAAATTTTGTGACTGGATAAAAGAGCACACAGTATCTATGTGTGTGTGTGTGTGTGTGTGTGTGTGTACAATCATCATCACGCCACTGTGTGTTTTCTGAACTCCCTCTCCGGAACAAATACACCTTCGCATGACGACAAAAAAGACACATCCGGAAGGAAGTGATGCAATCACCTTAAATGAGAATACTTATATACAGTAGTCCTGGGAGTTCCCTCCAGCATATCCACACATCGTGATTTTACTTCAACTGCAAGCTTCCATTCGAGGTTCAGGACAGACTCCGGATTCTCCTGTTTGCTGCCTTATAGACTAAACGAGGAGCACCAGCTGCATCTTTTTATATTATCTCTGAAACTGAGGTAGAGTAAATGATTATGTAGTATTATTATTATTACTTTTGATCACAACTCTTACTTTAGTGATCACAACTTTGAAAGTTTTGAATTGTCAGTTTGGTTTGTAGTAACTTAACATCTAGAAGTTTAAACCCAAGAGCAAATGGATGTGACCCTATTTTGGGGGGAGTTTCTTTTGCTAATGCACCATAGTAGTTACTCTTACACTGAACTGAACTTAATGAGAATAATAATTACATACTTTTTTTTTTTTTTTTTTTACAGAATGAAGGTTCCCATCATTACATTTTGCCTGATTGGAGCAGTCTTTTCCAACCCGGTGAGTATGAACGCAGAAAACAAAAATCAATTATTAAAAAGGTCTCAATTTTGAAAGATTTTTTCACTGTAATTTTTTTTTTTACATAACTTTCAGATAGGCGAAATATTCTCCCATCTTCCATGCTGTGTATTTTTGTTTATTTGAAAGTATTACTGAGGTTCAAGGACACAGTTACAACAAAAAAATCAATAATACTAGGTACAAATAAGCATAATATTACTTGCTATTAGTAAAATAACAGGTGACATGGAACTAAAGCATGTCATAACTATATGTATTTTTAGAAATAATAATAATAATAATAATAATAATAATAATAATAATAATAATAATAATAAAGTGTCCATTAAATAACCATCTGTTCCATTTTCATTCTGACAGATTTTACACACTGTTGTTTCAGTATCAAGCGAGGTTGCATCAAACTCAGTAAGTAGCATTTTCAAAACACAAATCATTTTTTAATATTTTTTCCCAAATGCTAAATCACAGTTGTATTAGACCTTGTTTCTGGTACTAGGAAAGAGAGAGAAAAAAGAAAGCAAATAATTCCATAATAATTCAAAGTTTAACTTAATAATTTAAAATTTCAAGTTTTGTTTTCATTTATAGATGTTTAAATTAGCAAGTTTAAATTTGGCAATGATTTTCTTTTCATATATTTGAGCTTCTGTACGTTTGAGTATATTTCAGGAACTATACATAAACTACTAAACTATATAGTCTGCCTGCAGTAAAGCTGAATTCCTTGAAGACAGTCAGCAGGAAAAGCTAACAATGGGCGTGGGTACTGGAAGTCTCTCCAGACCTCAAGATGATTCCCATTTCAGAAACTATTGTTTACTATACTTTATGTCTGCTTCCATTCCGGCAGTAATAGCTTGCCCAAGCAAGGGTTGACAAGAATGAAATCTAAATGAATGATGATTGTTGATGCGGCAGTTAAAGCATATAATTAAAATACATTTTTCTCTGTGCTTACTTTGTTTTGTTTACCCAGACTGAAAGTGTGTCTGTTTCACAATCGTCTGAAAATGACACCTCAGAGCTTCAGGTAATGTGTACATTTATTTCAGTAATGAGTAAATGGTTATTTTTCCTGACTCTTTCCATCACATTTGATTGCTGAGTTTCATCCACATGACTCTTTGTTCCTGTCTGTGTTGCAGAGCACAGAGGAAAACACCTCAAATCAGGTGAGTTATTTTGGTTCTGAAATGTCTTCAGAAAACCTTCATCCTAACACACAGATCAAAATCATTTTTCTGTTTACTGAAAATGTCTCTGTTTTTTTTTTTATACAGAGCTCAGAGTCAGAATCATTAGAATCCACAGACAACACATTGGAGGACACATCAGAGGACACTTCAGAGGACACTTCGGAGGACACATCAGAGGACACGGTGGGTCCTATTAGCAATCCGTGTAATATTTTACTGTTATCCTTCAACAAGGTTGCTATTTCCATTTCATAATCTTTAAAGCATTAGCAAATTGTTAGGATTTCTGGGTGTAACCTTGGATATCAGATGATACAAATGAATAAACCTGGAATAAATCTGATATTTGCATCCTTAAATGGGTTTCATTTCCACAAACAGACTTCAGAAGAGAGTGACAGTCAGTCGGATGAGGTAAGATGAAGTAAAACAACTTCTTTTACTTAGTGTATTATGTGTAGTACAGACTTACACTGTTTCTTCACCTCTGTTCCACAGATGGACTCCATGCTTGACACCAAAGATGATAGTATGGGCAGTGAAGAGAATGTCAGAAAGGTGCGATAAATCTTTTACGTTATCAAATTATTTCATTTAACCTGCTTAAGTAGAGGTTACAGTTAGTTAACACAGTGCTCTCTTTATTCACCGCTTTAGAGCTGGGTGCGAGTGTTTACAAATACAGTGAAAGCCCTTAGCGCAGAGGACAGCAATGAGCTGCCCGACACAAACCTGCTGGTGAACCCCACAGACAGCAGTGACAGCACCAGTGACAGCATAGAAACCACAACTGCCACCAATGACAGCAATGAAAGCAAAGACAGCTCCAGCAGCGAGAGCAGCGAGAGCAACGAGAGCAACGAGACAAAAGACAGCAGCAACAGCAGTGACACCAGCATGAGTACAGAGGACAGCAATGCCAGCGACAGCACCGAGCTGAAACAACTGAAAGCCAGGGACTGTGTGAATGACACTCAGAGCTGCGAAAGTGAGGAGCGTTTCTTCCAGAGTGTAGGAGATGATGCTCATTTCTCAGTGGATAATCTGATGGTGCCAGATGAGGATGACAGGGAATTAATGCTGCGAAGATGATGACATGCTCTTGTGCAGCCTCTCATTTCCCTCTATGAACTCTAGCACTATGACTAGCCTGAACACTTCAGGATGATAGATTTTGTTTTATAGATTGCTTTATGTTTATAATGACATAATGCTACATGCAGCTGATTTTTGTGTGAAAATTATCGAGGTGATATTATCCCAAGTGTTTACTTTGTTTTTATAATAATAAATAAATAATATAATCATGGATTTGGGGCTTGTGGAGTGTTGGCATACCATTTTAATCAAGGATTTATCCATCATGCAATTTTATAACAGGCCAATACATAAAACTGTACTCTCTACCTTTTAAAATATTTAGAAAATTATAGTAAAATACATATAATAACTGCCTTGCAAATTCATATTTTGCATGCACATTATGTAGCTTTTAAAATTACTAGAGATGGCACGATACCACTTTTTAATGTCCGATACCGATTCCGATATCATAAATTTGGATATCTGCCGATACCAATATGAATCCGATATAGCATATTTTGTAATCAATAAAACTGTTTTTTATAAATATCTTGCTGCATTTTGTATAAGTTCATACTCAAGTTTTAAAAAACGAGACTGAAGCTATTCTGTTATACCTGTATGCAAAAAATACACTCCATCCAAAACATTTTATAATTCAGCAACACAGATCAATCTAATAAATTTAAACCTACACCATCCTCCCTATTCTGGTATTTTAAAGTACTTACCTACCTAACTAATAGGGTTGCCAACTCCCAGCAAAAACATTAGGGAACCACCCCCCACCCCCCGCCCTTAATCGATGTAATCAACTTTAATTTAATGCAAGTGTAAAACAAATGCACAGAAATCAATTATTTTTCTACAATAATTAAATAGATTCAACATCTTGCTTCAACAGAATTGCAGACTGCACAGATGGTACCTTCCCAAAGGAAAAAATACTATAGCTTACTAGGGTATATTAGACTTATTAGTTACTATATACAATAATGGATTTCTATACATTTAATCAGATGACCAGTTTTGTTGTAAGATTCAGAAAATTATTTATTCAAAGTTTTTAAATGACATAACAAAGAAAAATATTTCTTTGTGCCCCCCTTTCCGTTAATGCCCTACCTGGCCCCGACAACACTTTGCTAGACCCGCCCCTGCACAGTTAACAGCTGTCAGCTACTTAGAAAAGGATCCTGGTGTTATTTGTCTCTCAGAAACAGTTCATAACTTCCCTTCAACTCATTCATGTCACCTAAAAGGTAAACCTGTTTCTCCATCACCTGCTCAGCTCTGATGATTCAGTAAGGACATCTCCTGGGTTCATCTTCATGTTTCCCTCTCACCGCAAACGGATATCATGACCAGCAGCTTTTACAGCCATGGCTCCAGCAAACCTCAGCTGATACTAGAAAGTAATATTAAATAAATTCTAACAACAGCTTATCAGGCAGCGGATAAACAACGTGCTGCTGTCGTTCATCCGCTGGTCTCCTCTTTCTAGCGCAAAGTGGGCGATAAAAACAAACAAGATGGGACTTGCTGCAGAAGATCAGCTGATCATTGATCAGTTTCATGTTTGAAGTAATAACAGGAGAGGAAGGGGGAGTGAATGAGAGAAATAGATGCAACTGCGCTGCAAAGACAGAATAACTCCAGCTTTGTGTCTATTTTTTAATTCTAGCTGACGTAAGGGACAAATCGCTTCCTTTTCACCTCAAACTGGAACTCAAATGACCAGTCCAGCTGTGGCTCAATATATCAGTTGTTAAGCTTAACGTGGAAATACTATGCAAACATTCAGGGATGAACTTACACACTTGCTTTACGTCTCTGGGATAGTTTTCGCAGAGATGAAATGCTGCTGTTAGGAAGCATGTAGCAGCTCCAAATGCTCCAACAGACGCTGACAGGGCATACTGCTCCGATGCGCCGAGCTGGGTTACGCCAAGTAACGCGTTTTGTGATACTTCGGATGGGATTACATTTTTGATTTCTCTCTGATATCCGATCCAGTAATTTAAGTCAGTATCGGACAGATACCGATAGGTAATATCAGATCGGTCCATCTCTAAAAATTACAATTAGCTACTGAAAAATAGTGGCAGGACAGCTGAATAAACAAAGAATAAAAATTTTAAGCTGAGTGCACCTCTACAATAATACATTTTTAAGCAAAATGCTGTCCTGCATATTAGAGGGGGGGAATTGATCCAAATATTGATAGTATGAAAACAACTTTTTGTGTTTACTATCACGTCTCTTTAATTAATGGTCTATAACACATTTAAACCACAGGATTGTTACAGCCATTTAGAGGTCATTAAAATATGTTCCAAATTTGGCTAATGGATGCTGGTTAGGCTAATCTCACAGCCTAAATCACGAGGTACTGTTCTCCCCTACATAAACTCCCTTTATAGGTTAAAAGTAGGCTATTGTTATTGGTATCGGATCACTAGCAAAGACAGCATTGTCGCAGAGTATTGCTGTTTATTACTGATACTTCTTAAATGAAATACTAGCGCATAATACTTGCCTTATAGTCGAATGTGAAACTACGACGTGTGATATGTATGACTCTCTATATAAATGGTACTTTCTCATTCGCAGACGTGGCCGGTTAGCTCAGTTGGTTAGAGCGTGGTGCTAATAACGCCAAGGTCGCGGGTTCGATCCCCGTACGGGCCAGTAGAGCCTTTTTGTTTAATTTATTTTTACATTTCTGTTGTACTGGTTGATGACGATATTACCCTAAAAATACTGAATATCGTGTGGAGAAGTAGTTCGTCAATAGACAAATCTCGAAAACTGTCGCGGCTTATGTGAAAAGTCCCCACTAGATGGTACCAAATCTTCATGTTGTATTGTGTACTAATGCAAATTACGTTTTTATAATCTTTCTTGAGGAAAAGGGCGAAACCGTATACAACAATCTGGAAAAACGCCAGGAAAAACAAATACAATATAAAAGTTGATATACTGCACAGAATCAGTCACAAAGCATAGTGGAGACTAAAGGAAATTTCCAGTTGATTCACATTGTCCACCAGCAAAATATGTCTGCCAATGTCCAGGAGACAATTCACCCATATTTATGGTCTAAATATGTTCTCTCCACCGAGAAGGTCACCAATAATCTGTTTAATGACCATGTCAACATAACTGTCTGATTCAATATCATAGTACACCTGGTTTTCCATAATTTACTGAGATTTATGACAAACTGTGAGGCAAAAAGCGCTTTTGGGTCGAACAGTCCAGAGAATCAAGGATCAGATGGTTTGGACATGTGCAGAGGAGGGAGATGTATTGTACAAAGCATGTTGAATATGGAGCTTCAAGGCAGGAGAACACGAAGGAAGGCCACAGAAGAGGTTCTTGAATGTAGTGAAGGAGGATATGCAAATAATTGGTGTCACTAGAGATACTGCGAGTGTGCGGGAGTAAAGAGGCTGTGCTCTGGTAATGGTTTAAACAGATTTCTCAATCACATAATTAGAATGAGAATCAAAATACGGAGACGTAGGTATTAGCATTAGGTGGCTGAGCAAGCTTTAACTGTTATTTGCTAAAGGAGTACTGTAATAGCAGCAAAGAAAAAGTACAAAAAAGTTCTCCCAAGTACCAATGTGTTATTTGACTGTCTGCTACTATTTCAACACATCAAAGCAGTACAGTTTTTTTCCAGCAAGCTATTTTTCCTTATATAAAAACCTGTAAGTTCGAAAGGTTTCTTTTATACTTTTTGAAACAAATGTTGATTTCTGTGGCAGCTGTGCCGGCTCTGAAAGAGAGTTAATGCATTCCCAGTACAATACATCGACAGCTTCCTTTGTTTTCTGTAAATCTGCATTAAAAATCAGTCTAAACTTGATGCACTGCAGGACTTAAAAGAGGCAACTTTAATTGAAAAGATATAGGCAGTATTTAGTTCTTAGAAAATATTTATTGCAAAATATTTTAACATGTTTGAAATGGTATTAACACTAAATGAAATCCATGACCTTGCATTACACTGATGGCATTTACCTTGAACGTTTTGTAGCTTGACACTCAATTTCCTATTAAACTGGAAAACCCTAAAAAGCTGAAAAAGCAACAAACATTGAAGACCTTTGGAATTTGTAATCAGGCCAATAATTATGGAAGCTACAGGAACTTAACATTGTACAAAAGAATGAATCTATACTATAAAAAAAAGTTAACATGAGATATGTGATCAATGAAAGAGCATGAGCATGAGTTACAGTCACATTGTTATCTCAGAAATGAGACTTCAGGTGTTCCTTCAGTGCCGGTATAGTGGGAAGCTCTTTGCAACACACGTGGCAGCGGAGAGGTAGCTTCAACAACTCACTGGTGCCTTCTTTCACAGTGACTTTTCCATCAGTTTCAAGCATCTGAATGACATCTGCAGGAAGAAAAACACAAAGTATTTTGAGTCCACAGTATAAATGATTTGCTCTAAAGCCAAATTATTTCTAAGCAGGTGTTAAAAATAAACTAGAACTGTTCTTACCCTTAGACTCAATGAAGTAATCTGTTGTAAATGAGTTCCAATGCTTTTTGTTCTTTAAACAAGGTGAGTCAAAGTCTTGGCTGATCACGTGGAGGTGAACATGGCTGAAAGAGAGAACATTTCAAAGCCACATTAAAAACCTGTTTAAGATTAGAAAGTAAAGTCTGAAGCGTTTACATTTCAGATCTTAGCCACAAGATGGCAGCAGATGTCCAAAACAGCTTCTAGCTTCAAGTTTCGTGGCACTTTTATTCCAAAATAATGTGGGAAGAATCTAGACCAGGGGTCCCCAATCTCAGTCCACGAGGGCCGGTGTCCCTGCAGGTCTTAGATCTCACCCTGGGTCAACACACCTGAATCACATGATTAGCTCATTACCAGGCCTCTGGAGAACTTCAAGACATGTTGAGGAGGTAATTTATCCATTTAAATCAGCTGTGATGGATCAAGGACACATCTAAAACCTGCAGGGACACCGGCCCTCGTGGACTGGGATTGGGGACCCCTGATCTAGACACTCACACAGTATGTAGTAGTTATTTTAAGGTAATGATTGTTGTTTATGTGTCAGACGTTGGGACCACACCACAATTTATTAGATTCATTTTTCAAATACAATAATACATCTGCATCACATTTCTCTTTAATGGTTTTAAAGATGTTTTACATGTTCATATGAAAAATTAAAGCCAGATCAGAAGAACAGGATGAAACATTAAAAACGCAAATTTGAAAAATCAGAGCCTTTGTAAATGAAAACATAAAAAACAGACAAATAAAAGTAAAGGTTCAATGCGGAAATGATGAGCAATTAAGGTTCATTTAAACTAAGCGTAAACATGAAATGTACTTATTTTAAGCATAGAGAAGTCTGCGCAGTTTTTTTTAAATTAACATTTATTCCCAGAAAGTTAGGATTCCCTTTCAAAATTGCTTCCAAATGTATTCTGTTGACGCTTTTGTTTTTTTTCACAAGCTTTTGAGTCAGAATGAAAATCCTTAACCCTAACCTCTTAAAAGTCATTAACTTCAGAGCTTCTTTAACCTTGAGTACCACATTAACTGGAGTGTCTACCTGGTAAACAAACAAACAAACAAAAAAAAAAATGCTTACTTTGATTTTTAATTGACTTCGAACTGTCTTTCATTTCCTGAATTTCTCTCTACAATTTATTGGTCTTAATTTTTAGTTTATTCTGCCCTGTACTTCTTTATTTCATTCAGTCTTTGTTTTATTTTGCTGATCTCTGAAGCACTTTTTAAGGTAGATTCTGAAAAATTCTCTATAAAACCAACAATTATTATCATTATTATCACTATTCTTATTCTAATTTAAAACTATGTTTTTTGTTGTTTTTAATTGTTTGTTATAGCAGTCTCAATAAACACATCCACTAAAGCCTCATCAGTCAAATTGTAGTAAAAGGACTAAGTCTAAGCATATTACCTCCATATTTTTAGTTTAGTTTAGTTACTCTCCCAAGTTCACAAAATCATTTCATATAGTCTAAATTTTTACCTCATGCTTGGGATGGCGTGGTATCCCGTGCGGAACTGCACCGAACTACAATCTGGGCGCTGTTGAATCATTTGGTCAGCAACTTTCTGCATGTGTTTCACCAGATCACAGTGCTCAGTGCGCAAAGCCTTCAGGCTGGGAATTGACTGCCACGGGAGCACAAGCCAGTGGTGGCGAGCTTTGGGGTATTTATCTTTAATAACGACCACTTTATCATCCTTGTACACCTAGTTTAAAAAAGTTAAAAATTGGATATTAGAGACAAAATCCAGTTCTCCAGTCAACATCACATCGTGAGTCTCTTTTATAGAACGGCTACCTGCATCTTGGGGTCTTGCATTGATGTCTTAAGGCCTTGACTCCAGTGTCCAGCATTTTCCTGCAACCGATATTAGGGGACATGTTTCTTCTGGATAATGTATTCCTTCAAACTCAAAACATGAAAACAATCGAAACATTTTTTTTCTTACATTTGTTTTTGGGGAATCAGCGTGACTGACTGACACTGAGATCCTTTCTGTTTGTTTGTCTGCTTTCATACTCTGAGCGTCCCTCTGGCTCTCTCGGTCCTCTGAAGTGGACTCTCGCTGCCTTTTTGTTCCACTTTGGCTGCCAGTGGGATCCTCTTTGAACTGTACAGTGTAGGGGTAAAGCTGATTGACAATATGAAGGCGCTGTCCAGGCTTTATTTTGACCTCACTGTCTTTACCAACCACCACGGAGTCTACAGAGGTGGGGTTTAAGCCCAGCTTTGGAATAAAAATGGGGATATAAAAGACAGATTGTAAGATTATATAGTAAAAAGTGGAAGATGGGAAAAAGTTTAACCTCTTTATAGATATTCAAATTATGAATGTGTAAGTATCTTACCTGTTTAACTTTGACATAACCTTTGTTGCATTCTGCTTTCAGCTCCACTGGTTGGAAAAGGATAACATTTGCAAAAGTCACACTTTCCACATATTAATGATAAAATCTTTGGGAAATTTATAATAGTTTAGAAAGTCAATTAAAAATGTTGTAAATGGGTTTGGGCTTCCTATGGGTCCTCCAGCTTCCTCCCACAGTCCAAAGATATACATGTTAGTGGTGATTCTAATATACCCATGGATGTGAGGCAGATACGCTGTTTGTAGTGTATAGTTTAATGTATGGTTTTGGCTTTGTGTGCTCAGTAAGACGCTTAATAAATGCTTAACCTCAATATTACAGAAATGCATTCGGCCCTTCAGTTGATCCATCAACTATTAATCAAAGCCTCATCAGAAATGGTCTCACTGGAGAGGTGACAGTCGTGAAAGAAAGAAGGGAAATGGGGAGAAAGGGTTTCAGTTCAGGTTGAGAACTGGAATGAAAAATCAAGGGCGACGGGTATTATGGCGTGTCAAATCCAAATTTAAACATTTTGGTTCAATTTGTTACTAATATGTAAGAAGGAGGTCAGGAGAAACACAACAGTAAATGTCTACAGGCATATGTAAAACACAGTGGAGGCTCGGTCTGCGTTTCAGCCAGTGTTGCTGAGATCTTATCAAAATTGATGGAATTATGAATGCAGAGAAGTACCATCACATTTTGATTCACCTTGCATCTGGAAAGCACCTGATTGGCAACAGCTAAATTTTTCAGCATCAGCTATCATCCTTGTTAAAGCAGTCTGTGATCACCTTGATTGAGAACGAAACAAAAGGCGGCCAACATCTAAAGAAGAGATTTGAATGTCATTCAAGAAGCCTGGAGTTCTCCAGGCTTCTTGAAGATCGCTTAAACAGATTACAAGAACACCTGCCTAAGAGAGCTCAGGCTGTGTTGACGTGGCCATAACCTTAGCGGTCATACAATACATCTCTTTTTTTAATCTTTCTTTTTTAATTTGAAAAAAAAAAATATATACTTCAATAGTTGACCTAATTGTTAACACTGCTAGTGTTTCAGACTGAGATGCTGTTACCTTGCTGCCGAGAGCATTTTTTGTCTTTGATGGTTGTTTCTGGCCCTCGCCCCAACACAACAGTCTGTAAATGAGGGAGCTGGATGGGTTTATGATTCCCCTCCTCGCTAATAAGCCAACAGAGTGGCATTTTATCATCGTTTGCCTTCGGCCTCGCAACCAGGGTTTCTGTTTCCAACAGTTCACGCTTGTTTGGGTGACTGGGGGCTCCGTCGCAGGAAATAAACGTCACCGGACGCGACTTTCATTTACGATAGAGGCGGGTTAGAAGAACCTTCTAGAAGAGTTGCTGTGAACGGAGGTTGTGAGGCGACATCATTGTCTTCATATAAGGTTGGAAAACAGTAATTATCTGTTCACACGGTGTTTATCACAAGTGTCATGTGTAGTTTTTGGTCGGTGTTTAAGTTGAGAAAACAACAAAGCTAACCTTTTTTTTTTCCTTAGCCGGGCTAAGTAGCTCAAATAGCCTCGTAGGGCCCGAGCAGCCCCAGTTTGTGCCCCTCATGTAACAGCATACATTTAACCACTGGATTATGTAAAACCTAAGTAACTGGACATGTCTGAAAAGTACCAAAAGGAGCGTTCGACAACAGTATGAGTTGTTTTTATTGATTCATAAACACCTCTGAAACCAACTGGATACAAACATCTTGTTCAAATATACTGTGATCTTTTATTCCCACTAATAAAAGATTACAAATAGTTGAGTCGCCAAGTTGTACTATCGCTTCTGAAACAAATATGGCAGCGTTGAGTAAACAAATTACTCAACGCCGGACAGAAAGCGAAGGCACTTCTGGTCTTTGCTCCTTTTTACAACGGAAAAGGTCTTGTGTAGGACTTGCTAGTTATCTGTTTTTAAAAGGGCTGGATTGAGGCTGTATTTGTGTGGTGCTGGTAACTGGTAGCTAATTCTTTGAATCCCCACCCACCCCCGTGAAGGGATTTAGCGACTCTGTTATGATAATGAGGAATAAGTTGCTGGTTTGGATCTACTTCACCCTTTAGAGTAGGGATGCCAGACTCGATTCACATTGTGAACTCCAGTTTGAGCTTGAGTGGGCCAGATTGGTGAAAGTAAAATAATAAAAATGCTGCTGTAGTGAAATGAATCTGTCAGCAGGTCTCTTTAGGCTTAAAGAAATGTGTCAAATTGACAGAAAAGGTAAGTCATTGAGTGTCTGGCAATTATTTTGTTAACAGAAACTGTATTAGATGGTGAAAAAACAGGAACGTTTTTGTCATTTAGTTCGTTACTTACTACTCTGACGTACTATAAATGGCCATGAACGTATGAAAATACAATTAGAAGTCCAAAATTAACGTCTGTGTGCACATTTTCTAAAGCTCTCCGGAGGGCTAGGTTGAAGTCTTTGCTGGGCTGATTGTGGCCCACAAGCTTTATGTTTCAGTCATCACCTCTCATCTAATCACAAAGTATTTCCAGGTTGATAGTTTAGGGTGACAGTGTCCATGCAGATCACATGCAATGTCCTCTATGGTCACAAGATCTGAGCTCAGATTCACAAGAAGCTGAACATTTATGAACTTTATTTTATTTATGAATATTTGATTTATTTATTTCAGTTTCTCAAGGCAAACATGGTCAAAGAAACAGGTTTTTACGACACTTTGGGTGTGCCACCCAGCGCAACTCCAGATGAGCTGAAAAAGGCCTATCGCAAACTGGCTTTGAAATATCACCCCGATAAAAATCCCACAGAAGGAGAGAAGGTGTGTAGTATTTTCTTACTGTCATTAACATCAACAGGTGAGGCACACGTCTTCTGACACGGTCTGTCTTCTCTTTCTTCTTTTCTTCAAGTTCAAGCAGATCTCACAGGCCTATGAGATTTTGTCAGATCCGAAGAAGAGAGAGATTTATGACCGGGGAGGTGAAAAGGCTATAAAAGAAGGAGGAACTGGCGGTGGAGGTGGTGGGGGCTTTGCATCACCCATGGATATCTTTGACTTGTTTTTTGGTGGAGGCAGCCGGATGCATAGAGAGCGAAAAGGTAGGCAAATGTTGAGAGGATATAGCTGTGAAATATGTAAAGCCATTTAGTTTGCCTGTGTTAAATATGTTCTCTGATGCAATGCGATATGAAAGAAAACTGGTTCTAAAGACTCAGACACAAAGAGTTTGAATCTGTTAAATCATACTGTGGCTTGGTGCTGTATGATCTTTAATACACCCCCACCCCTAATTGTGATGTAGAGTTTTTTGTTTTTTTTTACAAGTACACTTTTTTACACTAGAGGTCAGTCATGATACAGATAACACAGGTCTGCAACCTAAAAACTGCACGGGATTCTTTGACTGTTTCTTATAGATTTTTACTCACTGAAACCGGGGAAAATATTTTTAAAATTCAATCTCGTCATGTTTTCTTGCAAAACTCGTGTTTTTAGTGTAATTAAGCATACAATTTCCCTTTTTAAACTGAAATCTGGTATCCTATACTTGAGTCAAAAAACATATCCAATAATGATTTCTTACATTCATTTAATATTTCTAAGAGTGAGACTCAAGAGAAATACAAATAGAAAATACGAGGAATTGAGTGAGGTAAGTGGAGGGTTATTTTCTTCATGGCGAAAGTTAGGGAATCTTAAAAAAATATGTTTAGTTAATTGTAATAAAACATTTTTAATATTTTTTTTCTTTTTTTATCACTGTTGTGCTTTTTTTTATGTAAACTCCTCATGTTTTGCAAAAAATCTGTACGTGATGGAGGGAAATGGAGATCGTTTTTGGATTCAGCACTCTAAAAACAATAACATTTACCAAAAATATCACATGCAGCTGAAAAATCTTTTTTTTTTTTTTTTTTTTCAGACTTGTGTAATTGGCAGAGCCAGAGAATGCCAAGCAAACAAAGATTATCTCTGCACTCATAGTTTTAGCTGAGATAAAGTAGAACAGTCTTTAAAGGCTTGAAAGTTCATGCTCATACCGTAAGAGACCTGTTACTCACGGGTACACGTGCCCCTAAAGCATGCCTGACTTATGCTCTGTTTTGCGCTAGATGGCTTTAGAATTTGCTTTAGAATTACAAAGAGACAGTGTGAGAAATGCTTTCTGAAAAAAATGTCTCACTCTTCGAACGTAGAGAGTGTGAATGTTTGAGTTTGGGGGGTTTTTTTCTACTTATTACTGCATTTCAAATGTACAGCAAAATGATTGAATTATTGAAAGCTTGTCTTAGTGGTTTCTCTGGGAGACCTCTCAGGCTTAAGTGTTACTGCTGAAATCTGTGATATAACTAACTGTGCAATATTGTTGCCCCCCAGGGAAGAATATTGTTCATCAGATTACAGTGACGCTAGAAGAGCTTTATAATGGAGCAACAAGAAAACTTGCTGTCCCAAAGAATACCATTTGTGACAGATGTGAAGGTATGTTTCTCTTAAAAAGTTGCTTAGATGTTAGTGAGATGTGCGTCACATCAGTCTGGTGCAAGTTATCTAACCAAACTGTTTCTCCTGCATTATTCATTTGGCAGGTCGTGGAGGTCGTAAAGGAGCGGTACAGGTGTGCATGTCTTGTCATGGCACAGGGATGCAAGTCCGCGTACACCAGTTACTTCCAGGTATGGTACAGCAGATGTCCACAGTGTGCCACAGCTGCCAAGGACAAGGAAAAAGAATCAGCCAAAAGGACCGCTGCAAAGCATGCGGAGGCCGGAAGATCCTACGACAGAAGAAGATCTTGGAGGTCCACATTGACAAAGGTGAGAGAAATGTAAAACTTTTTTTTGCGTCTGTTTGTGTGCAAACAAGGAAAACGGTAAACCTGTACATATGTTACCCGGTGACATTTACACAGGAATGAGAGATGGCCAGAAAATTGTTTTACATGGAGAGGGAGACCAGGAGCCGGGACTTGAGCCAGGCGACATCATCATTGTTTTAGATCAGCGAGACCATGCACAATTCACCAGGTAAAAAGAAGCCGCTCTTAAGTGTCTTTTTGTTGTTTTGAATGTTAACTAGGATGATAAACCAAAGTTGGTGCTTTACAATCTCCCTCTCATCCTTTTGTGCAATAAAAATAAAAGTAATTTCCATGTCCATGCTGTAGGCTGACGTTTGACTTTCTTTTTGCTTTTCTTTTTGTTTTGTTTTTGTTTTGTTTTTTTGGTCTTCATTTTTGTCTAACTAGGAAAGGAGAGGACCTCATCATGTCCATGGAGTTGCAGCTGGTTGAGGCTTTATGTGGTTTCAAGAACCCCATTCAGACACTGGACAACAGAACTCTCCTCATCACATCACATCCAGGTAAATCAAAGTGGGAAATGCTTTTTGGGAGTTACTTTGATTGGCAACCAGATTAGTGTATGAAAATATTCTTATGTATAATGAGGTAGCATCAGCAGGCTCAGGTCCATTTTTGTTTTTTGTTTTTTTATTGTTCTGCTTTAGAGGATATGAATGTATTATTGAAAAATGCATCCAATGAATAACACATATTGAATTTAGAAACTGTCATAGCGCTTTTTAAAATAATTCCAGGTGATGTTTGAAAGATTTCTCTGTGAGATGTGAACCGTGTTTTAGATGTGTTGTGTCATTGTGATGTCCTCCTTTTCCAGAACAGTTAAAATCATTTTTTTTGAAAAATATGAATAAACAGTGATGATTTTTTTTTTGTTTAGATTGACTTAATGGGCCTAATGTTATTGTCAGCCAAGCAAGCCACATTTGGTGTGGCTTGTACTTCACAGTGAAACTAGGCCACCTTGTCAAGACCACTGGACCTCTACCGTACAGTAGTTAAAATAAACTACAAACTCATTCTTACTCAGTTAATTTATTTTGATGTTGTATATATTTGTTTTTTAAATTACAGGGGAGTTGATCAGGCCTGGCGACACTAAGTGTGTCCTGAATGAAGGGATGCCCACATATCGCAGGCCGTTTGAGAAGGGGCGTCTCATTATTCACTTCTCGGTAAGAATCTCTTTGGCATTTATTGTTTTGGGGTTTTTTTGTTTTGTTTTGTTTTGTTTTTTTAATGCCTTTGTCTTTTATATTTTTATGACTAAATTACGCATAAGTAAGCAAAGCAGCTGATGAGGCCCATATTTGCAAACATTGACACCATTAAAATAACATAAAGTGTTAGCATTTTTCTGCATTATAATATGCGTGTATGGTCTATTGTGGAGCTGCAACTGAATCTATTTACGGATGTTTCATTAGGTGGTGTTCCCAAAAGCTAATTTC